GAAACTCCATCCTCCCCCCAAAAAAGCCAGGCGAGGTGGTGCACAACTGTAGACCCAGCTGCTCGGGAGGCTGAGGCAGGAGGATCGCTTGGGCACAGGAGGTCAAGGCTGCGATGAGCCATGATTGCACCACTGAACTCCAGCCTTGGCAACAGGGTGAGTCCCTGTCTCAAAATAAAATAAAATAAAACAATTTTAAAAAAAGAAAGAAAGAAAAGAAAAGACTTGTGCTTTGTAAAGAAACAGCCAAACATGTTATTTAAATTCTGGACAGACCATTTCTTAAAAAGACTTCAACTCAGGGATGTATGAGGCAGGAGAGATAACATAAAGAAAAGTATATTGATTCATTAGGTAGAATGTGCTCAGTTTCCTAATGCCTCAATAGGAGAGGAAGGAACTCTCACAGCACATATAATTTATGGCAGTTTTAAGTCTCTGCGCATAAGACTGATGTGAACTTTTGTAATGACTTTCAAACGACTTGATTCTTGGGCACTCAAGCCCCTGTTGCCAGGAAGAAGACAACAGTCAGGAGGGCAGCCAGCAATGCCAAGTCCCACACAGTGTCCAGCCCAATATACTGTCTATGGAAATTAAAATTCTCAGCGTGTAGGTGACCATGGCGCCTTCCCCGGAAGCAACACTCCAAGCAAAGCCAACCTGCAATTCGCACTAAATATAACAAACACAAGTGTCCCAGACGTGTGTCCCGGGGCTGCCTTCTTGACCTTTACATTCCGATGGGGTAAATTCCAAAATGAGCCTGTTACAGCTGCTCCTGTAGACAGCTCCTCCCCACCCTTGCACGAAGAAGGAAAGAGAATTCCTGACATCTCCATTACAGAGAGCAAATTTTACAACTGAATTCTGCAGAACAAAAGATACCTGTCATCAATCTATATCTAGCTATCCATCATCCATCCATCCATCTATCCATCCATCCATTTATCTATCATCTATCTATCCATCCATCTACCATCTATCATCTATTTATCCATCTACCTATCATCTGTCTACCCATCCATCCATTTATCATCTATCTACCCATCCATCCATTTGTCTATCATCTGTCTACCCATCCATCCATCCATCGTCTGTCAATCTTCTATTTATCTATCTACCTATCATCTATCATCCATCTGTCTGTCATCTAACAGTTCTCTGCACATCTATTGTTATCTATCTATCATCTATCTCTATCCATCCATCCATCTGTCATCCATCCATCCATCATTTATCTATCCATCTATTCATCCATCCATTCATCCATCATCTACCAATTCTCTGTACATCTATTTATTATCTATCTTATATAATCTGTCTCTATCACCTATGAATCCTTCCAACCATGCACCTATCTATCTCTATCATCTATTCATCTATCTATCATCTATCCATCTATCCATCCATCCACCCATCATCTACCAATTCTCTGTATACTTATTTATTATCTATCTTACTATAATCAATCTATCATCTGTCTATCCAGCCTTCCACCCATCCACATATCTATACCATCTAATCTATCATCTATCCATCCATCCATCCATCATCTACCTATCATTTACCAATTCTCTTCACATCTATTATTTGTTATCTAGCTTACTATCATGTACCTCTGTTATCTGTCTATCTAATCCATCTACCTCTAACATCTATTTATCATATATCAACTGTATCTATTTATCTATTATTTATGGATCTATCATCTTTCTATCATCCATCTATCTGTCTATCTCCATCATCTTTCTACCTACCACCTTTCTATTATCCATCCACCTATCTATATCTATCATGCACCTATCATATGTGTCCTCTATGCCCTCTATGTATCTACTTATTTATGTCTATCAATATTTCTATCATCTACTTATCTACCTAATTATTTCTACCACCATCATCTACCATCTGTCTCTAGTTTTCTTAATTACTAGCTTTAAAATGATAATAATGGTGATTACTACTCCTTTAGACATTTCTAAAGGCCTGAGGTCTGATCAAAATTACTTCCCAAGAACAGGCATAGCTGTCATGAACCTGTTCAGTCATCTGTTAGGCTCTTCTGTCTCTAAGCAGAGGAGAGAGATGGGAGAGGAAGCAGACACTGGGGACTGGCATCTACAAAGCCCAGAGCTGGCCAAGGAAAGGTGCTGTGTGAACTTCACCCACAGACCTCGAAAACCAGATAATGTGTAAAACAGAGACAGAGATCCAATCCCCTACCCCATCCTCACCAAGATTTCTCTGATCCATATCTTGAAAGAGCATGGAGGCAGAAAGAACTATCAAGTTGAACCCCCAGTGCTGAGCCCTAAGTGTGAACATATTTCTAAGCAGCATAATGGGTATCCCCATACCTAAACATACGACCTGCTTAGAGCTTCACCTTTCCATGCAAACTCTCAGAATATTAATGGGAAATTAACATAACATAAAACGAACCATTTTAAAGTACAGGTTACCGGTGTTTAGTCCATACACAATGTTGTGCAACCACCACCTTCAGGTAATCCGAGGACATTCGCATGACTCCAAAAAGAGACCCTGTACCCATTACGCAGTCACTCCCCATTCCCTCTTGCCAGCCCTGGCAACCACAAATCCACTTTCTATCTCCATATTCCTATTTTGGATATTTCCTACTAATGGACTCATACACTATGTAGCCTTTTGAAAATGAAATACTTTTCTTTATTTTTTCTTTCTATTTACCACAATAAACTTCACATGACATAAAATTCACCATTGTAAAAGCATAATTCATCACAATGTTGTGCACCCACCACCTCTGTCATCACCCCAAAAAGAAGCCCTTCACTCATTCAGGAGTCCCTCCCCATTCTCTCTTCCCCAGCTCCTGACAACCACCAATTCACTTTTTATCTCTATGGATTTGCCTGTTCGGCACATTTCATGTCAATGGAATTAAACATCATATGGCCTTTTGTGTCTGACTTCTTTCCATCAGCATGATGTTTTCAAGATCCATCCATTTTCACCAATTCAATCATGTAACTAAAAGTGTAAACTAGGAATCTTCCAAGCAAAGATGGTGGATCGGGAGCTCCTGGTTTCTCTTTCTTTCCTTCTGAGATAAAAGGAGAACAAACTAAAAGTGTGCCATGGACTGCAAGTGTGAACCCCAAGCCAACAAGGAGGCAGGAGAAAACTGTCAGCCAATAACAGAAACTGGAGAAGTCACTGAAATTCTGCAAAATTCTCAGAAGCCCAATATGCCCATCACCAGGGGGAAAATCAGATAAGAGGATCTACTCTAAAGGAAATAAAAAGCCCCCCCAAAAAAATAATTACCACCACATAAAAGTGGAATTCCTAACCTATAACATAACCTTGACAAATTCAGACAAGTCAGCAACCCTTGCAAATGGGCACAGCTCAACTTACATTCCTCATTTTTATACATGTGGATATAAAGCATTACCAAATATTTGAAAAACAACTTCACCAAAAAAGAGAGAACTGAAGGAAGTTATGGGGTGGAGTGGGAAGAACCCCACAAATACCGGGCAGTCCATGAAATAGAAATTCAAGGACAGACAGACATAAAAATTCTGACTGCACTAATTAGTTTTATTTCAAAAGATTAGGGGGAGAGGGATACATCTATAAACCAAGAATCAAATGCTACAGAAAAGATCACTCTAAGGATAAGAAATAGTTCTTAGAAGTTTAAAATATGATTTGCTGGAGTGAAAATGGAGTAACAGAAGGTTTGAAAAATGTCATTGAGGAAATCTCCCAGAAAGTAGAATAAAGGGACAATGGAAAATTTCAAAAAGCTAGAAGCCTACAGGAGTGATTCAGAAGGT